TTTTTTTTTTTTTGCATTTTTTTGTGGATTTAAAAAAAATTTTTGTACTTTTTTGAGTATTTTTATGGGAATTTTTGGTGCGTTTTTGGTGATTTCTTTTTGTGATTTTTGGGTGTTTTTTGTGGGATTTTTTTGGTGATTTTTATAATTTTTTGAGATTTTTTTGGGTATTTTTTCGGGAATTTTTTTGTGATTTTTTTGTGGAAATTTTTGGGGCTATTTTGTTGCTTTTTAAGGGATTTTTGGGGGGATTTCATTATTTTTTAAGGGATTTTTTTTTGGAGTTTTTGGGGGACATTTTGTTATTTTTAAGGGATTTTTTGTGAATTTTTTGGGAGGTATTTTGTTATTTTTAAGGGATTTTTTTTATTTTTTGGAGGTATTTTTTTATTTTTTAAGGGATTTTTTTTTTAAATTTTTTGGGGGTATTTCGTTATTTTTAAGGGATTTTGGGGGGATTTTTTGGGGGGATTTTTGGGGTGTTTTGTTAATTTCTAAGGGAATTTTTTTGGGGTATTTTGTTATTTTTTAAGTTAATTTTTGGGGATATTTTGTTATTTTTTAAGGGATTTTTTGGGGGTATTTTGTTATTTTTAAGGGATTTTTTTGGGGTATTTTATTATTTTTTAAGGAATTCTTTTGGGGGTATTTTGTTATTTTTTAAGGAATTCTTTTGGGGGTATTTTGTTATTTTTTAGGGATTTTTTGGGGATATTTTGTTATTTTTTTAAGGGATTTTTTGGGGGTATTTTATTATTTTTTAAGGGATTCTTTTGGGGGTATTTTGTTATTTTTTTGGGAATTTTTGGGGGGATTTTGGGGGGTCTGGGGCTGGGGCTGATCCCGAATTTCCGTTGGAATTTTGGCAGCTTTTCATCACCGTGATGGACAAACTGCGCCTGGAGATCCGCGCCATGGACGAGGTGGGGATCCCAAAAATCCCCAAATTCCCCCAAAAATCCCCAAAATCCGGTCCCAAAAATCCCCAAAATCCGGTCCCAAAAAAACCCCATTTCCATTCCCAAAAATCCCCAAAATCCGGTCCCAAAAATTCCCAAAAAAACCCCATTTCCATTCCCAAAAATCCCCCATTTCCATTCCCCAAAATTTCCCCAAAATTCCCCCAATTCCTGTCCCAAAAATCCCTAAAAATTGCCGAAAAATCCCCAAAATCCAGTCCCAAAAATCCCTGAAATCCAGTCCCAAAATTTCCCAAAAAATTCCCAAAAATCCACCATTTCCATTCCCCAAAATTCCCCAAAATTCCCCCAATTCCTGTCCCAAAAATCCCTAAAAATTGCCTAAAAATCCCCAAAATCCAGTCCCAAAAATCCCCAAAATCCAGTCCCAAAAATCCCCAAAATCCATTCCCAAAAAATCCCCCAAAATCTGTCCCAAAAATCCCCAATTTCCATTCCCCAAAATTCCCCAAAATTCCCCCAATTCCTGTCCCAAAAATCCCTAAAAATTGCCTAAAAATCCCCAAAATCTGGTCCCAAAAATTCCCGAAAAAAGCCCGAAATCCAGTCCCAAAATTTCCCAAAAAATTCCCAAAAATCCCCCAAAATTCCCCCAATTCCTGTCCCAAAAATCCCCAAAAATTCCCCAAAAATCCCCAAAATCCGGTCCCAAAAATTCCCAAAAATCCCCCATTTCCATTCCCAAAAATCCCCCAATTCCAGCTCCAAAAATTAAAAAGAATTCTCAAAAATTCCCACAATTCCGGCCCCAAAAATCCCCAAAATTCCCAAAAAATCCCCGAAATCCGGTCCCAAAAATTCCCCAAAAAAACCCCATTTCCATTCCCAAAAATCCCTCCAAAAATTCCCAAAATTTACCCCAAAAACTCCCCAAAAAATTCCCAAAATTTCCCCCAAAATTGCCAAATTTTCCCAAAATTCCTGAAAATTCCCCAAAAATTCTCCAGAAAAACATCTCAAACCTCCCCCAAAATTCCCAAAAATTCCCCAAAAATCTCCAGAAAAAAATCCCAAAACTCCCCAAAAATTCCCAAAAATTTCCCAAAAATTTGCTTTATAACCCCCAAAAATTGGCCTAAACCCCCCCAAAACCCCTCCAAAATTCCCCAAAAATTCCCCAAAAATCTCCAGGAAAAAAAAATCCCAAATTTCCCCAAAAATTCCCCAAAATCCCCCAAAAATCCCCCCAAAAATTCCCAAAAAATTCCCAAAAATTCAAAAAAACCTTCCAAAAATCCCCAAAAATTTGCTTTATAACCCCCCAAAATTGGCCTAAACCCCCCCAAAATTCCCCCAAAATCCCCCCAAAATTCCCGAAATTCCCAAAATTCCCAAAAATTCCC